TTTTTTTTTTTTTTTTTTTTTGTAAAAGTTCTAATCTAATTTTTTATACTTTAACAATTTCTAATATAAAATATATTTATATGTGTTATATATGTAATATATCTGAAAATATATAAACAATATGTCGAAAAACTAGATAATATTTGTATTTTATAATTCTAAGAATAAATAACATTATTGTATTGAATTTTTGAGATTGATGAAAAATTAAAGTATAATTCATCATTAAGGTCAATTAAAATGGAGATAAAACAATAATTTAAGTAAACAAAGATCAATTTCTTATTTTATTCAGCTAACAAAAGTACATCATTAGTTCTTTCTACTAGTATTTTTGATAAAGAAAAATAAATTGCAAATTTTTAATATTATTATTATCCAAAGACACGATTCCATGTACATATAAATAATTGTATAGATTAAAAAATTGTTTATTACGTTTAATTTAATTAATATCGTTGAATTATTGAAAAATTCAATTGTGTTCTTTTTTTCGTATATTAATTTTGGAACGTTATTTAATATTGAAAAATATGTTTTTAATATAATAATATTGTTATATAACAATTTATGTTAAAAGCATCGTTTTTAATAAATAAATATTCACATAAATATATTCAATTATAACATATGGTAAAGTAATTTATACTTAAGTAAGATTATAATATCTATAAAGATGTGTAACAGTTGTGTGCTATAAAAAGACTAATATCTACCTGCAAAAAGATGTCTATGGATAGAAAGCAGGTAAGATCGTAAAATTATTAATCCGTTCTTTACAAAAGAGAAAATACGGAGAATCAAATAGCAATTTATTGTTCTGAGAAAATGTATTGAATAGAATCCCTAAATATATTTTAATTCATTTTGCACGTCGAAAATTTCATAATTTACTCAAAATATAATGGTAAGACGTACTAGGTTCAGTTAACGTACAAGAGCTCCGTATAAAATAATTATACAAAAATGTTATATAAGAAAACATTGGCTGTGCACGAGTTGTTTAAAAACATTCACTAATCCCATTTGAAAAAGTCATCTTTTATAGTACTGCGTCCCTTATAATGATTGATATCTTAAATAAATAGTGTCCGGTCGATCGTTTACAGATTACTATATAGAAGATGTACAAACGACTAATAAAATACTTCCTTTATTCTTCAAAGTTTTTTCCGATTCAACAAGTACTTTTTTTTTTTTTTTTTTTTTTTTTTTTTTTTTTTTATAGATAAGCCCTGATTGAAGTAATATTTATTTATGTTCTAGGATATGCAAACTGAAAATATCCAATCGCATCTATTAAATCAAATTTATATAGTAGCAAAAAATCAATCAATAGTTTTTTGGGTGTCAAGATCGACGTCTATTACATTAATTGTCAGTGAGTATAATATTAAGAATATATTAATTATTAAGAAATATAACTTTTACTTTTATAGATACTGAAAAGAATCTTTATTATTAATTATAATAATTTTTATATAAAGACAGATTGATTCGAATAAACGCAAACGTTCTACACATTAAAGCACATTAAACATTTGTTATGAGCATAATTGTAAATATAATATTGAATAATATAAAATTATAAATTCTACTGTTAATGATAGATCAGGATATAAAATTAATTTGTATGATTAATACTAAGAACACCGCAGTGCATCGTAACAATTGTGACATGTTTTTGTTTATAAGCATTGGTAATATTTATTAGGGAAACATTAGATCAGGATATTTTGAAATTCGGTTTAACTTACTTATTTTGAAATTGAATTGATAGGTTATTTTATTTTATTTTTTTTTTATTGTAAATTTTACATATACAATGTGACTTGATGTATTTAATTTATTAATAAACATGCAATTTTTTTTATTATTAATTTGACTTTTTATTTTTTAATTTTACTCGAGGAAAACTGTTTATTGTCTAATACATTTGTAATTGCAATATGTTATTTTTATAACAAAAATATATGAAAAAATCGTAATCCATTTATGTAATGAACAGAGTACAGTTTATTTCTATTGATAATGACAAGGGTCGAGTGAAGTATAGAAACATAATATCAGTGTCTTTTTTTATTATGTACTATTGATATGTAGAGCTATGATGGCAGTACTGCGTCTTTCTTATACTCTATAGAAGGGATTAATCGGTAGATAAATAAGTGTAAGTGTATCTATTGGGGTTGTTTAATACTTTTCTGCTCGGATATTTTCTTAGATGTGGTCGGGTAAACTGTTAAGTCCGCTGTTTTTAATAGTGAACTTGATATCTCTAGAATAAAATGAATAGTCAATATTTAAAACTTTAAACTCGATATTTAAATTTAGATTTAAACGTTTCAATATACCTTGAAAAATAAAAAGATATACAGATTAATTAATTTGAAAATTGGTTCCCAATCGAGACGGAAACGGCGAAGAATTTGACTGTATATATTTGAAGCATCATTTGCCTTTTTTATTAAGACAATTAACATAATTATCTTTGTGATATAACAATTAATTAAAATTGATTAAAATTGCGATATATTCTAATAATTATAAAACAATGTATGTGTGGTTAATATTCATAAAATTTAATACTTAACCTTGAATAAAATTATCGAGTATTTACAAATTTTTAGAATATTAAAATAGTATAATGATAAAATTAAGTTAAATTCCGACTATAAAATTAATCAAATAATACTAATACCTAAAAATTACACGATACTCGAACCTAATTGGAAGTATGAAATAACTTTTAAATTCAGTAATTTAGATAATGACATGACTTATATTAATAATATTAGCGTATATAATTATGTTTTTAATTATTAATTGTTTCATAATTTAAATTTAGTTTTATAATTATAGGATAAAGTGACCTGTAAAGCACTTGTAAATTACTATATCTATCATAGTTTGTGTTTTATCTTGTTTCAAGAGACTATAACGATATAAATAAAAATTTATTTGTTAACATGTTTGTTATTGTAGATTCGCTTTATCCGAACTATAAGTACGGGAAGCTGCAGATGCGTACTCAGGTTTTAGTAGTCAATGCGACCGAGCTACTGAAAAAAGACTCTTATGAGATTTTTCGTGAACTTTTTCAACCGGCGCGACCTTTTTACGTATACCGAGTTCATCCGCTGTTGAAATCTGCAGCCGACGAAGTACCGTATTTTCCTTTCCACGGTTACGTACATCCAATGACCAGAGACGACGATGTCACTAATATTTTCAGGCTGTATAAAATAAGCGATCAGGGATCATTCAAAACTTTATCAGATTTCAAATTCCAAAACATAGACAAATCTGAACCAATTACGGTAAGATTAATAACTGCTTTTTCAAAAAAAAAAAAAAAAAAAAAAAAACAGTAGTTTTTCATTTCAAATGTAAGATATTATAAAAAAAAAAAATAATAATAAATATAATCCGATAAATATTAAAAGTTTTCCCATTTTAAATTGTAGATCACAATTGGCTCATTAGAAGCTTTCTACAAAAACTCCAATGACGTCAACAAAAATTATTATACTTATTTTACAAAACATCCATGTATTTACTTGAATATTGATATAATGAATATGTTATCGATAAATGTGGGTGGCAAAGTAATTTTAGAGCCGCTAAACGATGAGAATAATAATTGTGTTAAGTGCACAGCTATTGATATTCAGACTACTAATGACCGCATTTCCGTAGAAGATTTTTGTAGCTTCATTCGCCGTAATTCAAAAAATGAAAAAATATTACTAAATTCAAATAAAATGTTTAGGCTCGATAGTGAAACCTGTTTCAGGATTGCGTTGCATCCGGATGTTTGTTCATATGCATTTTTTGACGAGGAATCTATTAAGAATATTCGTATCACAACCAGTAATAAACTCGATTATTCTAACGAGGATCAACAAAAGGAAGATTTTGTAATTAAAAATATTTTTATGGAGTAAGATTTTTTTAAGAATAATTTAAAATATATTTTTCCTAAATTATCTCTGTTCATATTTAATTTAGAAGTGTAATTTGCATTATTTTTTAAAGATTATAAGTCTTCTTTGGATAATAAGTAGTAATTATAAAACGTAGAAATTTAGAATAATGTTACAGTACAACTCTCATTAAATTCATAAGAATATTTTTATTATTCATAATGATATGTCAAAATAATATTTATAGTTTATATTATTAATAATATAATTATGTTAAATACTTTGTAAGTATGACTTTTCAGTAGTTATTAATATTTTCAGTGTATTTCAATCTATTATTACGGAATGCACAAATGTACTGACGCTCAGCTTAGGATTTCATAACATTACTGACTTACTGTACGATAGGGAAAACATTTTAATTAAAGGCTGCAGAGGTTCCGGCAAAACAACTGTTTGTAAATTACTTTGTAATATTTTTCGTAAACCGCCCTATTTTGTCCACTCGAGATTTATCGACTGTAAAGAATTGAAAGGTATGTAATTCATATTAATTTTAGCATTATTTTAGCATTATGAAAGTAATAATCAAAATATGAAAAATGAAAACACTGATTAATAATTTTAATATGCATGCTTATTTTTTTTTTTTTTTTTTTTTTTTTTTTTATTTAAA